AGGAGGAGAAACAAATAATTTTTACCCGAAAGACACAGAATGAAAACCCAAAACAAGCCTCCAGCTTTGGTCACCATCATGGCTGCTATATGTTTTTACTCTAAATGAGAAAGGTGGTTGTATGTTGATTAACATTATTATGATAAATGGTTGATTACTGGTAGTACATATTTCTTAAAACTCATCAGAGATTAGAAAATATCAAAACTATGAATAAATGTCAGAAATCAACATCTGTCTAACAGGAATGACCGACTTGTGTGAGTGTGTCTGCAGACAAACTGCATTCAGCTTTAACACCATCACTTCCTCATTTATCTTTTTTTTTTCTCGAAGATGAGCCCTCTAGTGAAGAATTTATGTATTGCAGGTGGTTTTTCCACTTCATACTGATTTTACCTTTGAAGTTTTTCTTTTGTACTACTTATCAACATTCTCTGGCTTTATTTATTTTTTCTTCACTTTTTATAGAGGAGCCCAGTTAAACATGTGACATGACCACATTTCATTACATTTTCATTCCTCCCCCCCCCCAAAAAAAAATAAAAAATAAATAAATAAAATAAAATAAGTTCCTGCAGACATGATAGCGTGTTTTTATTTCTGCCAGAAACAGTTTAAAAGTGCAAATCAGCCAAAAGATAGTAAAACACAAGAACACACATCTTGTCTTGAGTTATCTTTCACAATCATTTTTAACACATGTATTTCATTATGAGACATGTTTGAATGGAAAAGCTCAGGCATTTCTATATTTCTGTTATTCCTTTCTGTATTTTATGTTCCAGTACAGAGAGTACAAACACTGACAGATGAAGCAGCTTTGGTGTCTCTGCTATGATACTGAACTAATTTTAGACACAAAAACCTTAAGGGGAACCGTTCCATTTAAATCACCATGGTAACAACCTTTTCTTTAGTGAGCAGGCAGTGGCTTGATGGTGGAGTAGAGATCAGCTGTGTGGTTGTCACTGAAGTGCAGTCTGATGTAGTGATGATCATCCTGCTCTGCTGACTGAGTTATGATGTTTTCATACATGAGGTCAGGGTTCATCTGAGGAGACGAAACAGTTATTATAAATTCATATTAAACTGCATTAAACATTTCATTGTTCTATCAGAATATTATAAAATATCTGTTTGTAGGTCTGAGCTGATAAAGGTTGGTTGGTTCATTGGCTTATTAAAAAAACTATTTAAATCACAGGTTTTCATGTCCTTGAATTCAGAGAGAGCTGATGTTTACCATCAGTTATATCACTACTGTTTAATATCCAGTCAGTTACAAAACCGACATATGAGACTGATATGAATCTACTGTGTTGTAAGAACTGTTAATGTAAAGTTTCTATTAAATGTGATACAATGATAAACAGGTTAGTGTAAATGTCTTGTCT